CCCTATAGGATCGCATTAAGTAATTAAGACTGGCATCCATTGATACTCATCTAGATACCATGTCTATAGGGTTTCAACTAATAAATCAATCAGTCGCTCCTATTGCTTTTAGCACACTACTCATCTATATATCATGACCATAGGACCTCAATCAACTAATTAATTACTTTGTTACTTCGTTGTATCGCCACACTTAGATGACATGCCTATAGGGATCAAGTATTATAAAAATCAATTTCAATTGTCAACTGTTAGAAATCCTGCCTATAGGATATTATTACTTGTATTAGATAGCATGCCCATAAATCAAAATCGTTAATCTTGGGCTTTCGAACAGTCTTATTACCTCACTGCACGAACAATGTAGATGTCATGCCCATAGGTTTGTTAGGCCTTTAATCTGCAAATCCGTTAGCCTGAAGCTGCAATGCTGCCTATACAACGCTGGAAATCAGAATGACCTAGAAACTATGCATATATGACTTAATGACTATAATGTTTCTTAATCCCAAAACATTATACTGCCTAATCTGCCGCGTGCATTCGTTGTTTATGTGGGGGGTTAACTTGAGCCTTTTATTGCATTTATGTGAAGTCCTATATATTTTGAATGTGCGCTAGTTTTATCATTTTTGAGCATCCTAAGTAGAGTCTAGAACCACCTAATAATAGGTCCAAAGCCTCCTGGACCATAGGCAATGGACAGGTAATGCACGCGTAGGACACGAGCTAGAATTGAATTAGAGCGCCTTTAAGTAAATAACTTTAACATAGTAATCAGGTAGCGGGAGATAATAGTCTGTAACCACTGAATAATATGAGCAACCCCTACCTTAAGNCTTTCTTTATAAGTTTATTGTTCACAGTTAGTCATCAAATATAGACTAATCAAGTTGTACCTTGTAACCTCCAAAGACTTGTATAGTCTAGTTTTTGCCCGATTTCCTTTACAGTTGTTCACAGTAGAACCTTTAAATTCCTTATCTTCCTTCACTTATATGATCACTTAGAATAATTGTAATCCGATAATCCCACATAGTTTAAACTTCGGCCGGGACCCAAAGTTGTATACCTCGAAGAGTGCCTAACACCTTCTCTTTTAGGTAATTTGAGCCCTTACCCGATCTTTGGTGACAGACTAATTATTGGCTTAATTGCACTATTTAAATTATGTGAAAGACGTGTACCCGAGGTGATGAGTGTGTACACAGCCTTATATGTGAAAATTGACCGGTTTAAGACTCTTAGGCTTCTTATATGCATTTAAATGAAGTCATCATATCATGTTATATCTTTCATGGTCGAGTTTACTCTTATATGCTTTAATTGAAGTCGTTATTACATGTTACCTCTTTCATTGTTGAGTTAATTCTTCTATTTCATTGTGTTATTGTAATTCTTATGTTGATTTACTTTCCGTACTCTTGTGTTATTGTTGTTGTTTTTGTACTCATTGTTGTTGATCCATGTGCTATGTATTGTTGCGGCATTGGTATTATTGTTATGCCAATGTTGTGGCACATGGACACGTGTGGTGCCAGTGGTTATGTTGTGTTATTGTGTTTTTGGCACATGTGGGCCTGTTGAGTGGATTGTTGGGATGTTTGCACGAGATTCTACCGTGCTATTTATTATTGATATTGCATATGCGGCGAGACAAGGTGGGATAATTATTTATGTGCGTGTGGCGAGACAAGGCGGGTTGTTGCGCAAGCGGCGAGACAAGGGGGGCTATGTCAGGGATGATATGTGATGGCCTGGGGCATATTATTTATGATATTCGTGTGATGGTGTAATTTTTCTTGTGTGTGTCATGCATATTACATGACATGTGGTATTGTTTCCAATGTGCTACTCGATGTCTCTGATATTACTTGTTGACTTGGACTGTGACAGTACACTTGCACATGCATACACCATAACATGTCATTTATACCAGTTCAGGAGTATGAGACTTGATATTCTATGATCATGCATATGTATTCTTGTATATCTATTTTCCTTACGATATGGCTGGATTGTTAGCCTGTGACCATGCCGGACGGATTGTGATATTGGCATGTGAGTTGTCCGTGCAGCACATGAGTGGTCAGTACGGTTGTGATTTATAATGTGGGCATGAGGTGCCATGTGTATATGATTTGTGGTTTAGGACTCGTGATTTGTGATTATAAGGTGTGGTATCTCAGGGTGATTTTTGTGTAAATCTTTTGATAGAACGGTTTGATTATTTGGTTGTCATTTGTATTCCTTAATTGGCTTCACTAGTACTTTAACGATGTTCTGATTACTTTGTTGTGTTATCACCTATTTACACCTTGTTTCTATTTGTTGCTTCTACTTTTCATTGCAAGCGTTATATTGTTATTCTTTCTATGTTTAGCTTTACGTTTATATTTGTTCCTCTGTTAGCTTTATATTAATACTTTGCACAGGTTATTATGTCTAGTAGGTGTCTTATTTTAATCTCGCCACTACTCCATCGAGGTTAGTCTTGATACTTACTGGGTACCGATTGTGGTATACTCATACCAGGCTTCTGCATATTTTTGTGCATATCCAGGTACCTCGGAGCGTGCCAGATGCTAGTGAGTTGATTCTGACATCTCGGAGACTTCAAGGTATGCCTGCTTGATGCTCGTAGGCCTCAGAGTCACCTTCTAGTGATCATATGCTATTGTTTCTTTTATTTCTGAACAGTATTGTAATAGAAATTCCTAGTGTATTTGAATAGAGCTTATGACTTTGTACTACCGTTTTTGGGATTGTATACATGTTGTCAGTGTTGGCTTTTATTATGCCATCAAACAGTTTAAATTATTAGCCTAGTCATTTATTTCTATCAAACTCTCATTGTGTGTTAGGCTTACCTAGTCTTAGAGACTATGTGCCATCACGATCCTTAAGATGGGATTTTGGGTCGTGACCATTCGCTCTCGATCCTAGATATGTGATTTGACTTGAAATCTAACCTTTATTCGAGGTTTAAATCTCAAATTTAAAAAATTCATAAATTCTACCCATAACCCTAATTTCTACCTTGAAATTCACATATTTGCTGATAAGATTCATGAAAAAGTAATTGAAATTGATTGAAAATAAGTTAAAGTTGCTTACCAATGAATTTGGGAAGAAATTCCTCTTCTAATATCGCCTCTATGGAGTTTAGGTTGAAAAATACTATAAAATGAGCTAAGTCTCGCTTTTCCCAACTTTTACCCAGCTGCAGATGTCGCAATTGCGCACTTTTGTTCGCAATTGAAATATTTGCAAAAGCGAACCACTGATCGCAAATGCGATCAGTGTCCCAGCTACACTATTGTCGCAAATGCAACATTTCCTTCTCATTTGTAAAGACCCACCAGCTCACAAATACGGACAAGGCTCCACAAAAGCGAAGCAGCACCCAGTCCTCTATTTTCGCAAATGCTCGCATATGTCACAAATACGACATTCACCCAGTTCGCAAATGCATTCTTTTCTTCGCAAAAGCGAAGTACCAGCCCCCAGTCCTCCTTCGCATTTGCGAGCCTGACATCGCAAATGCGAGGCTTGCAATTGCGATCAAGTCCTCGCAAATGCGAGACCTGCAGATCAACACCAGCGGATTTTTGCACCAGCTATCCAAACCTTCCAAACCACATCCAAAACTCACCCGAGCCCCCAGGGCTCCAATTCGAATACTGACACAATTGTAATAACATCATATAAAATTTTTCGTTGTCTCAAATCATCAAATAATATCAAATATCAAGATTCGATCATCAAAACTCAAGATTTTCAACTTTGAAACACAATTTTCTAATTTTTCACATAATACACCGAAACGTCCTGGGGTCACCCGCGACCCCAACCTAACATGCGTACAAGTCCAGAAATACCATACGAACCTACTGAAATTGTCAAAACACCGATTTGAGGTCGTTTACTAAAAATGTTGACCGTTGTAAACTCAAGTCATTTTTAAAGCCAAAAATCACATTTTCTTTAACATTTCACATATAAGCTTTTCGAAAAATGACACGGATGACCCACGCAAGTCATATATCATCAAATAAAGCTACAAAAGGTCTAGGAACATAGAAAAGGGAGTTAGTACTCAAAATGATCTACCGGATCATCAGAATATGTTACCAACAGTTTTTACTCGACTTTTATGGGAATTATATACGCTACCAACAGATTGTAATCAACCATGAAGGACGTTTATTGATCAAGGTTTGACCGTTCAAGTTTAAGGATTTAGGGTTAGGGTTCAAGGATCAGAGTTAGAGTTTAGGGTTTATATATCACGTAGGAAGTTTATTGCGACCAGTGGTGGATGGAGAAATATTTGGATGATTGATCTTCCCTAAATATGTATATTTTGTAAATTTATTTACTTTGTAAACTCATATATGTTGTAATTGACTAAATGGGGAGTTTACAATCAGTTTCCCCCCATATCATATATCCACAACTTGTATTTGTTTTAAACATGTTATTTCCCTATTATAGCTCATAAGCTGAAGCAGCGCCATGTCATGCCTAATCATCTCTCTCCAATACTTCTTGGGCCTACCTCTACCTCTACCTCTCCTCAGCCTAGCATAGCCAACCTCTCACACCTCCTCACTAGGGCATACATGCACCTCCTCTTCACATGCCCGTACTATCTCAATCTAGCTTATCTCATCTTGTCCTCCAACATAATATACTAAAACTCTAAATTTTATGAGTGAAACTCCACAAAGTGAAAAACTGGTTAAAGTTTGACTAGTTTTGAAACGAGGGATAAATGTAAATTACCCGTCTAAAAACTGGCTATTTTCTCCAGTTTTTCTACAATTTGTCGAAATCCATGGCAAGCGGGCAAGCCCAAAGATGAAAAATCACCAAGCCCAGCCCATATACACGTGGGCTCTCATCATCAGTAACCCGTTACATAAACCAAACGCTGAGATCTCAGCCATTTCTCTCAAAAACTAGGGTTTACTCTCTCACCAAAGCAGCTTCTCTTCTCCAATGGCGCCCAAGAAAACTCTCCGTAACCCAGAACTAATACCTGGCCTGGGAAAATTCTCACGTTCTAAAATGTACCACAAGAAAGGTCTCTGGGCAATCAAGAAGAAAAACGGCGGCACATTTCCATCCCATAATAAAAAACCTACTGTCGCCGCTCCGGCAATAAAACCCCCAATGTTTTACCCTGCCGATGACGTAGAAAAACCCCTTGTGAACAAACACAAGCCAAAACCTACAAAACGCAGAGCAAGCATTACACCTGGGACTGTGTTGATTATCCTAGCTGGTAGGTTTAAGGGGAAAAGAGTTGTGTTTTTGAAACAACTTGGTTCTGGGCTACTACTTGTTACTGGACCTTTTAAGCTTAATGGCATTCCTCTTAGACGTGTGAATCAAGCTTATGTTATTGGTACCCCAATTAAGGATGAACAATTACAGAAGAAATAATTATAATTTCAGATATAGATAAGCAGTTAGGGAAAAGACAACACGACAATAGAAGAGATAACAATTTTAATTAAGGCACATATGAATCAAATGAACAACAAGAGTGGATCATGAAGCAATTAATTCCAATTAGAGCAGATAGAAGTGAAACTGGAAATTAAGAAACGTAATCGTAACGAGAAAAACTGCATATTCAATGAATATAAGGACCTAAGAATCCCTAAAAGGCTAATTTTCCACAAATAAGTACGGGCACGTACTCGTCACTTCGCGTACACGGACTACAATTAGCATAGAAGACTCAAATCCTAAGGGGTAGTTCCCCCACACGAAGTTAGGCAAGATACTTACCTCAAAGAAGATAGACAGATACTCAAAAATGAACTTCTCGGGTGAAATGACCTCCGGACGGCTCAAATCTAACCACAATAAATTCAAAGCATAAATAAAACTCATAAGAAACTATTCCGGACCATAAATCTTCATTCTTTATCAAAATCTAAAAATCGGTCCAAAAGTCGACCACCGGGCCCACGCCTCGAAACCTGACAAATTTCATAAAACCCGAACACCCATTCCGATATGAGTTCAACCATACTAAAATTATCAAATTCCTATACCAATTCGTCTCTCAAATCATGATTTTTCATTTTGCAAATTTTATTCAAAAAATCTCCTTTTCCCCAACTCAAAGCACAAATTAAATGATAAAAATAAAGATAAAATCATGGAATATAATAAATTCTAGGTGAAGAACACTTACCCAATCGATTTACTTGAAAAACCCACAAAGAATCGCTCAAAATCGAGCTCTATAAGTCAATATATGATAAAAATTGCCTAACCCTCGATTTGGAAATCTTATATTCTGCCGAGGTCTTTATGCATCGCGAACGCGGAAGATCAATCGCGTTCGCGAAAAAGAAAAACAAAAGCAGCCCAGTTGTGCTTCGCAAATGTGACAACACGTTCGCGAACGCGTAGAGGAAAAGTCTGATGCCCCAACGACTGCTCTTTGTGAACGCGTGAAGTAGTACGCGAACGCGAAGAGAGGAATGGCATAGCTACGCGAACGTGTGAGATGAACATTAATTCAATGAAGGAAATGGTTGGATTCCGCGATTGTGGAAAGAGGAGTGCGAACGCGAAGAACAAATATTCCCTCCTCCAAAATTACTCTTCGCGAACACAGAGGAGAAGATGCGAACACGAAGGAGAAAACCAGATGACAAATATCAACAGTTCAAAAATAGAAGAAAATGGCCCGTAGCCCATCCGAAACACACCCGAGGCCCCCGGGACCACATCAAAACATACCAACAAGTTCCATAACCTAACACGGACTCGCTCAGGGTCTCAAATCACATCAAACAAAGACAAAACTATGAATCAAACCAAAAATCGAACTTATGAACTTTCAAAACTTCGAACTTCAAAAACTCGAGCCGAAACCAATCAAATCAATCCGGGATGATGTCAAATTTTGCAGGCAAGTCCAAATAACAGAACAGAGTTGTTCCAACTCTCAGAATCGCATTCCGACCCCAATATCAAAATGGCCACTCCCGATCCAAATCTCTAAAAATTTGACTTTTGCCATTTCAGGCCTAAATGAGCTATAGACCTCCAAAACACAATCTGGATATGCCCTTAAGTCCAAAATCACCAAACGGAGCTAACGGAACTCCATTCTGAAGTCGTCTTCACACAGTTCCTGCTACGGTCAAAATCCTAAGATTTAAGCTTTCGTTTTAAGGACTAAGTATCTCAAATCACTTCGAATCATCCGGTAACTGAACTCGACCATGCACGCAAGTCAATACATATAATACGAAGCTGCTCAGGGCTTTATGCCGCTGATCGGGACTTAAATTCTCAAAATGACCGGCCGGGTCATTACATTTAGAGTAGGTTTTAGTATTATCGAGGTCTGTTTGGGATTTCTAACCTGGGAGTAGTTCCGTATGGTGATTTATGACCTGCATGAAATATTTGGCGTCATTCCGAGTTGATTTGATAGGAATCAGATGCGCCGAAGGGTTTTTAGAAGTTTTTGAGTTTCATGATTTAATTTATGCGTTTTGGCGTCTGATTCGTGATTGAAAATATTATTTTGGTGTTTCGATCGTGCGAGCGAGTTTGTATGATAATTTTAGACTTGTGTGGATTTTTGGTGTGGATCCCTGAGGGCTCGCGTGAGTTTAGGACGCGTTCGGAGGGGTGGAAGGACTTTAATTTTTCTGATTTTTTGTGCTGGTACTGTAGGTTTCGCAAATGCAAAGTTTTGTTCGCATTTGCGAGCCCGCATTTGTGAAGAACCATTCGCATTTGCGAAGCTGGGAAAGCACTGAGGATTTCGCATTTGCAAAGATTATGCCACTTTTGCGAACTATCCCTCTTCGCATTTGCGATGATTTTGGTCGCATTTGCAAAGTTTTTGGTCGCATTTGTGACCTTGGCGGAGATGGCCAGTCTTCGCATTTGCGATGGTTTTGTCGCATTCGCGGCCTTCACATTTGCCAATAAGATGTCGCAAATGCGACATCTGCGACTGATGCATCGGCTTTTATTACGGGACTTAGACCATTTTTCTCACATTTTAATTTAGTCTTGAGAGATTTTGAGAGCACATTAGAGGGGGGTTCTCAACAACATCTTAAGGTAAGTAACTCCCGCCCATTTTCAAGTTACTTATGCGGATTTTAGGTAGATTAAACATGGGAAAATTGTTAAAATTTGGGGGATTTGTGAAAAACCTAGGGTTTTGGTAAAAATGAGATTTGACCACGAAATTGGTTTTGGAATTAAGTAAAAATTATATATTTGAGTTCGTGAGGCTATGGATAATATTTATCTTCAAAAATTTTCGGAATCCAGGCACGTGGGCCCGGTGGCGAATTTTAAGAATCCTCCAATTTGGGTTGGATAATTACTCTAATAGCTAAATTATGAACTTTTGATTATATATTGATTAAATTATATAATATTTGACTAGTTTTGGATTGTTTGGCATCGACTTGGGACTTTTAGAGCGGATTAGTGGACCGGAAGTAAGCTTGGGAATGAGGTAAGTCTCTTACCTAACCTTGGAAGAGGGAACTCACCCCCTTAGGTGTATCTTGTTGTGTATTACTTGTGTGGGGATATACGTACGCACGAGGTGACGAGAGTCCGTATGTAGCTATATTCCATGATATGTCCGGGTAGACTTAGATCCACATCATGATTTTAATTGTACTTTTGTGTTTATCATGCGTATTAACTGTCTTGAATAGAGTTGAGACTAGGGATTTAAAGTTGCAATTATTGATTTAGACTTCTTATTTTTTGGAAAATTGAGGAATACTTAATAATTATGAAAATTCCATGACTTCTTGCCTCGCAAGTACTTTCGCGAGCGAGGTAAACTTCTCTGCTCTAATGGGATCGGGTTGTTCGCCTCAGTAATATGATAACACCACTCTTATGGGATCAGGTCGTTCGCCTTGGCAGTATGAAGGTAACAACACTCTTATGGGATCGGGTCGTTCACCTCGTCAGTATGATAGTAACACTAATTCTTATAGGATTGGGCCATTCGCCTCGATAGTACTGAGTACCACTATTCTTATGGGATCGGGCCGTTCACCTCGGCAACTTCATGCTTAATAATCAAAACGGGTTCCAGTTTAGGGTAATTGAGTTAGCGCCTTCACGGCCAGTTATGAGATGTTAGTGATGTGATATGAACTCCTGTTATATTTATTGTAGTTGATTCTATTTGTCTCATTGATACCTGTTGTATGCTCACCATGTCTACTTTATGCACTTTTATTATTATTATTGACCTCTAGTAAGTGTCAAGTCGACCCCTCATCACAACTTCTTCGAGGTTAGACTAGATACTTACTAGGTACACGTTATTTTCGTACTCACGCTACACTTCTAAACTGGTGTGCAGGTACCGAGACAGGTTCCACCAGTGGTCACGCGGGTGCGTAGTCGATCATCTACAGAGACTTGGGGGTGAGCCGCTTGCCTTGCTACGATCCGTAGCACCGGAGTCTCCTTCCATATTATTTACTATTCTTGTCTATTACTTCCGGACAATAGTTATTAGTAGTTTTGTATATTCTCTAGATTGCTCATGTACTCGTGACGCCGGGTTTTGGGGATTTATTGCATTTATGTAATGCTACACTCGTTATTTCTATCATCGCAGAGTATGTGCTTATTATGATGGCATTTTGTTTAAAAAGACTTGTCACAGTTGTAAGAAAGCTAGTTAAACTATTCTCTAAAAACAGAAGGAATTTTCGTATTAAGATGTGTTAAAAAGGGGTAAATAATAAGTAATGGCACCTGTGGGCTTGCCTAATGGCGGCGTTAGGTGCAGTCTCGACCCTCTTACGGATTTGGGTCGTGACAGCTTGGTATCAGAGCTTAAGTTCACATAGGTCTCACGGGTTATGAGCAGGCCTAGCAGAGTCTTGCGGATCGGTGCGAAGACGTCCGTGCTTATCTTTGAGAGGCTATAGGGTGTTAGGAAACTTCTCTTTCTTCACCTCCTATCATGCAGTTGATATTATACTAAGTGTATTTCTATTGATCTCTCACAGATGGTGAGAACGCACATGACGGATGTACCAGGCGGTCGAGGGGCTGCCCCCCCTCCCCCCCTCCCACATTGCTAGAGTCTGAGGCAGAGGCC